TTTGCAAATTTATTAAAAAAGGAAAAACTGAAATATCACATGGTCATAAGTATTCAGACCCTTTGCTCAGTATTGCGTAGAAGCACCCTTTTGAGCAAGTACAGCCATGAGTCTTCTTGGGAATGATGCAACAAGTTTTTCACACCTGGATTTGGGGATCCTCTGCCATTCTTCCTTGCAGATCCTCTCCAGTTCCGTCAGGTTGGATGGTGAACGTTGGTGGACAGCCATTTTCAGGTCTCTCCAGAGATGCTCAATTGGGTTTAGGTCAGGGCTCTGGCTGGGCCAGTCAAGAAGGGTCACAGAGTTGTTCCGAAGCCACTCCTTTGTTATTTTAGCTGTGTGCTTGGGGTCATTGTCTTGTTGGAAGGTGAACCTTCGGCCCAGTCTGAGGTCCAGAGCACTCTGGAAGAGGTTTTCTTCCAGGATATCTCTGTACTTGGCCGCATTCATCTTTCCTTCAATTGCAACCAGTCATCCTGTCCCTGCAGCTGAAAAACACCCCCATAGCATGATGCTGCCACCACCATGTTTCACTGTTGGGATTGTATTGGGCAGGTGATGAGCAGTGCCTGGTTCTCTCCACACATACCGCTTAGAATTAACGGCAAAAAGTTCAATCTTGGTCTCATCAGACCAGAGAATCTTATTTCTCATCGTCTGGGAGTCCTTCATGTGTTTTTTGGCAAACTCTATGCGGGCTTTCATATGTCTTGCACTGAGGAGAGGCTTCCGTCGGGCCACTCTGCCATAAAGCCCCGACTGGTGGAGGGCTGCAGTGATAGTTGACTTTGTGGAACTTTCTCCCATCTCCCTACTGCATCTCTGGAGCTCAGCCACAGTGATCTTTGGGTTCTTCTTTACCTCTCTCACCAAGGCTCTTCTTCCACGATTGCTCAGTTTGGCTGGACGGCCAGGTCTAGGAAGAGTTCTGGTCATCCCAAACTTCTTCCATTTAAGGATTATGGAGGCCACTGTGCTCTTAGGAACCTTGAGTGCTGCAGAAATTCTTTTGTAACCTTGGCCAGATCTGTGCCTTGCCACAATTCTGTCTCTGAGCTCATTGGGCAGTTCCTTCGACCTCATGACATGATTCTCATTTGCTCTGACATGCACTGTGAGCTGTAAGGTCTTATATAGACAGGTGTGTGCCTTTCCTAATCAAGTCCAATCAGTTTAATTAAACACAGCTGGACTCCAATGAAGGAGTAGAACCATCTCAAGGACGATCAGAAGAAATGGACAGCATGTGAGTTAAATATGAGTGTCACAGCAAAGGGTCTGAATACTTATGACCATGTGATATTTCAGTTTTTCTTTTTTAATAAATTTGCAAAAATTTCTACATTTGTTTTTTTCTGTCAAGATGGGGTGCTGAGTGGACATTAATGAGAAATAAAATGAACTTTTTGATTTTAGCAAATGGCTGCAATGAAACAAGGAGTGAAAAATTTAAAGGGGTCTGAATACTTTCCGTACCCACTGTGTGTGTGTGTATATATATATAGATATAGATAGATAGATAGATATAACATAACGTACAAAATGGGCTAAAATATCAGCATGACTTTTACCCTTTCACATTCTCTATGAGTAAGTACAACATAATCTATAATTGGACCAATGGGAATCCCCACTGCTCTCTGTGGCACCACAATAAAAAGGACGGCGTACTTTTGTCACAGTCTAAATATAGAAACGACATGTACTGCACTGCAGCCTGTAGAGTCCCCGACTCACGGCAGTTACAATTTGTGGCACAACAAATATAACCCAAGATTTACTCAATGAATGCTGTGATGTTAACACATTTAAAAACACTCAATTGTCTGAAACTACAATTTACCGACATTAAGCAAACAGCATTGAGACTGTTAACAGCTGCACGTCATGCAAGTGTAGCAGAGATTCATTTGTTACCTACCCAGCGCTGAGGAGGCATCCAAGCCCTGACCCCCGCCACTGGAGCTGCAAGAAGGACAGTCAGACAACACACTCCAAGGTAATGAGACCAGACAAGAGCTGCATTTAGATATCGCCATCCAGTCCAGTAAATAATACGCTACATTTTAGATGATGTACTGTGTTGAAATGAAAATACTTGTCATAGATGTTTGAGAAAATGAATGTTAGTTTAGTATTCCTGTGACATATCGTCAGCATATAGGTCGACAAATTAATTGTCTTCCTTGGGTTTGGAGACAGCCCATTGGCTCAAGGAGTCACTGTATCATTAAAAATACTAGACTAATGTTTACTGATACAATAAAGACATTCTAACTTTTAGGAAACAGGGCGCAAAAAAAAGCAAAAACAGGGTTTAATTGCAAATATTGTGCATGGAAGTCAAATGAACTGTAGTAAACCAGAAAGCAGCTAAATGAATGGCATACTTAAGGACTAATAAGTCCAATATTGATGTGTGAAATTCTTTTTTGTGAAATTGACTTTTCCCAGCACTACTTCTCAACTGTCTCCAGTATGTCAAAAACACTTTCAGACCGGTTCTACCTGGCTGGTTGTGGTTCCGTGACGTCGGCGCTCGGCTCCTCTTTGGCCTCCTCGGAGGGAATGGGGACAGCTGCCGGGGTCGGGGCTGAAGCTGAAGCTGAAGCTGCAGTTGTGGCCGGGACAGCTGTTGACGTGGAGCCAGAGTCCTGCACGGGGGGCTTGGGGGCTTCCGTGGCCGGGGGAGAGGCGGCAGCTGCGGGTTTAGCCTTCGGCCGGTTTGGAGAGAAGGTGTTGTTAGACTAGTGGTGTGTAAACACAACATCCAAAACTGAACAGCTCCTGCCCGGCTCAACTAGGGGCTCATTTTGTCCACAATTTTTACGTATTTTTGCCGTCGTGTCCGCCATTTCCGTAGCTTCCTCTTGGATGTGTGCTTATGATGCCCAGAAACGTCCACAGCAAAATACTGATACAGGCAACGATACACACTTCTAGTGGGTCGTAAGTGAGATTATTTTTTGAGTGTATGCAATATTTTATAGGAAAATCCTACTCATTGTGCCTTTAATAGTATAAAAATATCTGACATTCAGACCAGCCAAGAGAAAGTCCTATAATACAAATGCTGACAATAGAGAAAAGTTAAAAACAAACCACACTATACAACCCAATGTCATCTGGATGTATTACAACCAATTCAGGTCTTACCTTGGAAACCATCACCACCACAAAGTTCTTCTCATCAATGTTGTAATCTTTAATGGGCGTGTCATCTTGCAGGATTTTCCCAGCATATATGAGCTTCTGCCCAGATACAGGAAAGTTGTCTTTCCCTCTTTCTGCCTCTATCTTCTCTTTTAAGGCCTTCACCTGAGAAAGAGAGGGATCATAATCAATAGCCATCGACATGCAGCCACTGTGTGACATGCACCTCTTTGATCTCTGACCTTCAAGTCAGAGGACCTACTGATCAAACCGTCCAGATGGACCAATGAAAATGTCGTCAACAGACAGGGAGGCATCATGGCTGACTTGCAAAAGTATGATGAGTAAGAACAGGGTTTTCATTCACATGCAGTGTATCACACAGCTTACTGTAAATAAGAAAACAGAGAAATATCTGAATAATATCCACTATGAGTAACATAAGTACTATTCAAATAGCACAATGTCACGTTCACTTTATGTTGGCCTAGCTAGCTGCATGTCAAATTGTGTGAACATGCTAACAAACTTAGCCAGCTTCTCAGTGCGCTACCAATACGGCTCGTCGTAATTAGCAGTGTCATAAGCGTTAGCATTAGCAATGACTATAATATCGTGGCGGGGAAGCCTGTGCTCCCCGCAGAAGTTTGCGGCATTACATTCTCGTTCACATCAGATGTTACCGAAGAGCAGCAGCAGCAAAGTCACCGCGACACTAACTTGAAACGACGGGAAATTCGCTCGCTGTCGCGTCGCGATGACTTTTGTTTAACGGGCTGCTTGGCTAGCTAACTGGCTAACGTTTGCTAGTGAGGTTTCGCCTCGTTTAGCATCCGTCTCGTCCATGTTGCCAAACTCGTAACACGTGCTGTTAATTGGCACCCGTTCGTCGTGACAACGTGAAATGCTATCGTGTTGGAAATCTCATAAAACGGTTAAGTCTACGCGTAAAGTTTAAAATATAGGTCCCGCAGCTGGTACTGTTAGCTAAAAGTTAGCAGGTTAGCTAACAGCCACTCACCGTTTGTTCGGGGTCTATCTCAATCTGAATAGTCTGCTGCTGCAGTGTTTTAAGAGTGATCTGCATGGTAGCGGCGACTGACGCGGAGTCAGAGGTGCCTCAAGCGGATAAATAGTCGCTCGCTAAGCAGTTAATGTTACTAAAGTTGGCGTTTCTGATGTGACAACGACTAGCTGAGAAATGTGTGTATCCATGAGCACTCAGCAAATCGCCATCTTTGGTGACAAGTTGGTGGTGCGCGAGAGAAGCTCGAGCTTCGCTGGAGAGACTTCCTGCTGCGGTGAGTCGTTTAACTTTTAACACGGGAGAGCTTTCACTTGACTTATTTTAATAAAAAACTAAAAATGCACTTTAATTATATATAATTACAGTGAATGTAATGACAAAAAATAATTCAATATATATCCAAATATATCATTTAAGATCCACTTAGAATATGACCACTTAGAACAGCAATTTAATATAACTGTTTAAAGTTTAACTTTAAACAGTTATATATAGTGAATAATGAAAGCAACATTTATTTTGAATCAACTGTCTGATGTGTGAAATTCCAAATATCTCACAAATATCTCACATCCAAATTAAAATTCAATCCTGCCAAATGGATAATGAATCTCTGTCTTAATATCTTAAAAATATATATATCTATGTTAAGGACGCTGTACACAGGTGTTTACTGTCACCATGGTTGATTAGCCCTGTGGTCAGGTAGAAGCTGGGTGGAGCTATGATGGGAATAATGTGATGTCACAAAACTCTATGGACCAATGGGAATGATGACAGCTTGGTCCCGCCCCTAACCGGTGCAACAAATTTAACAGGGGAGTGATCGAGCTGTCAATCAAGTGCTGTCAGACGTCTTGTCAAGTGACAGCTTGTGTATGGACTGCAGGTGTTGCGTTAAATCACATATAATTGATAGCTTTTATTTAACAGCTTTAATAAAGCCAGTGGTTGCACCTTATAGTCCCTTCATAAAAAGTTGCCTACAATTTGTCTACTGCTTCTGACAGTTTTTGCTGAACACTCAGAAACACCTGTAGAAAAATAAACTGGTCTGTGACACGTTTTAGCTAGAATGAATCAAGGAATCTCTGTCTGTGTGTCCTTCGCACGTCTCAAGAACCGCTCATCCGATCTACGTCACACTCTGCCGCATGTTCGTTATTACTAAACTTTGAATAAACAAGCGAACTGTGTAGCAGTATAGGGGGCGGGGCTTCAGGGCTCTGCGGACTGAGTCGAGCATGTCGTCCCCCAGCGGGCCTTCACAGGCCACGGCGGCTCTTTGGCTGCCGTTTACTTTTGCTGCTGGTTGCTGGAAATGCTAACATCGCAAACGAACTCTTCCTCACTTCCCTGGAGTCGACGAGCGGTTTTCGAGAACGCTGCAAGCAGCGCCTTTTTGGGGCCAAGCAATCGTGCCGTGCCCGCCCTCCGGCAACGCTGCAAGCGGCAATAATGGGATCCAGTCAGACAGTTCCGAACGGACACGCCTTCCAACGGACACCGCACAAGTATATAATCAGCAAATCATTTTTTTCTTTTGTACATTACGTTGGAATAACCGGAGATCATTCATTGTAGTGATTGGTCATGAATCATTTTGTTGGTCTCGATGTCACTTCCTGCACCTGCAGCGTCGTGGAACAGAGCGCTGCAGCTCTCTTTGCCTCGACCTGCTGCGTCTTGGATCGTACATCACCTGTATGTCGCTTTTGGACAAAAGCCAAATGAATAAAAGTACATTTTGGTGCATGTTAAGGAGCTGCTCATGTATATCAAAATTACACAGGATGCTGTTTACTTACCCAGTATTCCAAAACCATCCATGCTCAATATAGTGACATTCAGTGCCATCACAGATAGGTGTAGTGTGGAAAGAGGAAGCACGGCATTGCAGTATTTATTGCAAAGAGTTGTGTACTGACTATGGACACTACATAGTTTCGTTCCATTTTCTGCAGGAACTATAGAGTTCAAAAGTGGGCAGACACTTACATAAAGTCATAGAAAGTACATGTAGTGCACTACGAAATAGCAAGTGATTTCAGATTGTCTTCCGCTGGAAGAGCTGCAGTACGATGAGCACAGACTACTGCCTTCAAGAAGATGTCTGTATTCAGGATGCTTAGTATACTGGAAAGGAATAGTGTGACATTTTACGCCTATTTGCGTTCTTGCCAAGGGTTTTTTAAAAATGTTTAAACAATAGAACAGTCCCTGACATACGACCTCTAAAAAACAAGGCACATGATAAAAAATAATAACAGTACTACTAGTTTAACTAGTAGCGAGTATCTAAACATACAGTATATGTACCTATGCATACACCACCTACATACACACGCGCACAGCATAACAATACTAATACCTTCCTACCTGTATAGATTTTACACATGTACTCAAAAAGGAATATTAGCAAAAGGGAGGAATAAAACAAGAAAAGAAAAAAAACAGAAGCAGAATTAAATGAACAAATACAGATAATGAAAGAAACATTTTTTTACAAAAGGGTGGCATTCGTCACACGGCAGAATTAGTTACAAGTGGGCATAACAATGGTAAGCCACTGTTATGAACGGCCCGGTTTCTGACAACTGGGGGCTCCTCCGTCCAAAAATGATTGGCTTGAGGCTGATATTTGGTTCTGAATAATAATGGTTTGGTCCAGCACACAATGTGTTTGGGGGATGCATTTTTTGGTAGCTGCGGTTGGTCCTGCAGCCAGCGTGTGTTTACACGAGTTGGCAGGTGTGAACTATCAGCAGTGAGTACATGGTCCTTTAGAGTGTTAGTTTTGACTTTTGTGGAGTATCCCTGGATAGGTGAAGCAATGTGGTCCGTTTGGCTGCGTTGTTTTTGTTTGTTATTTTTGTGTGGTGTGCGGTCAGAGCAGTTGTCTCAGGGACACATCCAGAGCCGTCAGGTGAGTAACCAGCTTGCTGGGGGCCTAACCGGGCTACTGGTTTAAGTGTTTAAAAAGCCTCCCGCTAATCTGCATGAAGACTAGGGTTCAGTGAGGTAGATTAGTTTGGGATAGGTAGTCTAGGTAGAGGGGATTCCACATTAGTTTGCGGGACATATCATTGTCTCTTTTACTGCACTAGTTGACCTAGAAAGCACTGTCTTTGTTGTGACCTTTGACCTGGTCTATTACCTGGTCAACTATTACGGCAGGGGTAGAGGACTTTGTTGATGCTCCATGTGAGGGGTTTCTGGTTCGTTGCACTAGAGATCAGCTCTTAAAGATTGCAGAAGAATATGATATTGATCTAAGTGATGTTGGTGATAAACGGGTTAAGGGAAATGTAAAGGCTATGGTTAAAATGCAGTTGGTTGAGAGAGGGGTGCTGGTTGCTAAACAACATCTCCCGAAAGCTTACAGCACCGGCACTTTCAGTTCCATCAGGGAACCTTAACTTTGAGCAGCAAAAATAATTGATTTTGTTACAGTTTTCTCATGAGAAGGAGAAACAAAGATTAGAACTGGATTAAGCAAGTGGAAATTGAGCGGTTGCGGTACAAAACAGAACAGGAAAAGATAGCGTTGCAGAATTCAAAGTTAGGGTTTGTCAGAGATGGTAAGCTTTCGGGAGATGTTTTGCATGCGGAAAATAGTTCATCAGCGCAGTTTCCTGATATTGTGAGTAATTTGCATCTCTTGCCTAAGTTTAACGAGAAAGACCCGGATTTGTTTTTCTCACTGTCTGAGCGGATTGCACAGGCAAGAAATTGGTCAGATTCTGAGCAAACTGTACTGTTGCAGTGTGTGTTGTCAGGAAAAGCCCAGGAGGCTTATGCAGCTTTAGGTAATGATCTAACTTATAAATCAGTCAAGGCTGCTGTACTGAAGGCATACGAGTTGGTCCTTGAAGCATATCGCCAGCATTTTAGGATGTTGGAATAAAGGTTCAACCAGTCTCATATGGAGTTTGCGAGGGAGCTGACAAATAATTTCATTTTGAAAGTTTGGGCAATTTGGTCGTCTTGGAACAGTTTAAGAACTCTCTGCTCAGTCGTGTTGCCACATATCTTACTGAACGTAAAGTTACAACTGCCACCCAGGCTGCGGGATTGGCTGATGAAAGCTCATAAAAGCCGGCTCAGTGAGCCTGTGTGAGCCTGTGTGGTAGCCTGTGTTGCAGGATGATGGAGGTGTTAAGTCATCTGTTCGCTTCGGGGGTTTTCCAGGTAGGGCGCCTCAGGGAGCGCCTGAAATGGGAGAAAATATGTGCCATTACTGCTGTGAGGCAGGCCACTGGAAACAGGACTGTCCAATGCTTAGGGATGGGAGGCAGCAGGCTGGAGGTGGGAGGCTAAATCCTTCTGCACTGGTTATAAGCGTTCCTGGTCCTGTGGGAGTATGGCAAGGTGGGCATGCAGAATCTGGCGTGGTTGGAGGCCCTGATGAGTACTATCGGCTTTTTGTCTCCAAAGGGTTTGTAACACAGACTGGTAGTGACATTAAGGTGGCCGTTAAGATTTTGAGGGATACGGGTGCTGTCAACTCCTATGTTCGAGACTCCATTTTGTCGTTTTCAGATGAGACAAATACAGGGGATAAAATCCTGATGCGAGGAATGGGGTTGAGGATGTTGTCTGTCCCGGTGCATACGCTGAATGTAGCCTGTGGCTTGGTGCAGGGCAGAGTTCCTATTGGGATGAGACCAGCGTTACCAGTGAATACCAGAGGATTGACATCATTTTGGGCAACGACCTGGCTGACAGTCGTCTGTGTGGGCAGATGTGCCTCCTCCTCCTCCAATAGTCACTCCCTCTCCTTCAGCCTCAGAACAGCCTGATGAGAGTGCTGTAAACTTTACCGAAGTTTTCCCTGCATGTGCAGTTACTCGGGCGATGACTCGTGCTGAATCAAAGGAGGTAGATGGAGACGTGGAGGAAAATTTGCAGTGTTTACCTGATTTTCCTTTGTCTGTGTCTCATAGTGATCTGCAGAATGGACAGAGATCAGATCCAGCCTTGGAGGAGTTGTTTGGATCAGTGCTGTCAGTTGGTGAGGTGAAACATGTTTCCAGGGGCTACCTTCTTCAGGATGGTATTTTGGTGAGGAAGTGGGTGCCCCATGGTGAGGAATTTGTTGGGGATCCCATTTTTCAAGTTGTCATTCCAGCCAAGCTTCGTGGTCATGTGTTAAGACTTGCTCATGATGGGTCAGGGCATTTGGGTGTCCGGAAAACCTATGACCGGATTTTTCGCCTTTTCTTCTGGCCACGAATAAAAAAGGATGTTTCTATGCATATTAAAACATG